ACACCAGATGGCTAGCAACGGCATGGCTGTGGAGCAGGTGTAGTTGAGAGGAGGGAAGGGAGGCCACCTGAGGGCCAGCAAGCATCTGCACAGCCCAGTAGAGCAACAGAGGGCACACCCAGGCTGGGGGGAGACCAGAGCTTGGCAAGTCTTTTTATTTTTTTGGAATTGGAGTCTCACTCTGTTCAGGCTGGAGCGCAGTGGCATGATCATGGCTCATCGCACCTTGACCTGCTGGGCTCAGGCAATCCTTCTTTCTTGGCTTCCCTAGTAACTGGGACTACAGGCCCATGCCACCACACTTGCCTAAGTTTTTGATTGACTGCAGAGACAAGGTCTCTCTATGTTGCCCAGGCTGGTCTTGGACTCCTGGGCTCAAAAGATCCTCCCACCTTGGCCTCCCAAAGTGCTGGGATTACAGCCACCACACCTGGCCATTGGGCAAGTCTTTTGGCCATCTCGATGCACACACTCTCTTCCTAGTAGCTCGTTTTAGAGATGAGGAGGCTGCTGCTCACCAGAGTTAGGAGTAGCCTAGATGCCAGGACAAGGGTGCAGTCACAGTTGGTGACCTCCCTACCAACCCCTTGCCTTTCTTCCTTGCTAACAGAAGCCTGCTTTTTTTTTTTTTTTTTTCAGTTGAAGTCTCACTCCGTTGCCCAGGCTGGAGTGCAGTGGCACACTCAAAACCACGCCAGCATTGACCTGCTGGGCTCTGGTGATCCTTCCACCTCAGCCTTTCAAGTAGCTGGAACTACAGGTGTGTGCCACCACGCCTGGCTAATTTTTTGATTTTATTGTAGAGATGAGGTCTTGTCAAGTTGCCCAGGCTGTTCTTGAACCTGTGGGCTCAGATCATCCACTCACTTTGGCCTCCCAAAGTGCTGGGATTATGGGCTTGAGCCACTGTGCCCGGCCAGAAGCCTACTTTTATTGGGTGGATAGATATATGTTCAGCTCTAGAGACTGAATTGTGATTGACCTAAGTCATGACTGCTCCCTCTTATTGATGATTCTTCTGGCTAATGAGGTAGAAGGAGAGAACTGTTGGAGGCTTCATGGAGATAGTTACCTCTCTGATAAGAGGGAGGTGTGAAGAGACAGCCCTTTTTCTGTCTGTCTTTTCTCTTTCTGCTTTGGGTTTTGTCATGACTTAGGAATGACTGGCTTGAGCTGTGGTAGCCATCTTGTGGTCATGAGGTGCTGGCAAAGAGGCCTATTCTGAATCCAGCATTACTGAGCCACTGAACAGTCCTGAATTGTCTTTCTTCGGACTGTTTGTTAAGTAAGGTTCTGTTATTATGTATGAGGAGGACCCAAAAAAACCCAGAATTTTTTTTTTTATCGGCATCTATAATCCCAGCACTGACCCATAATCCAGAATTTATTTATTTATTTATTTTTGAGTTGGAGTCTCACCCTGTCACTCAGACTGGAATGCAGTGGTCACTCCCGGCCACCACAGCCTCAACCTGCTGGACTCCAGCAGTCCTTCCGCCTCAGCCTTCCAAGTAGCCGGAACTACAGGCGCACGCTACCACGCCCAGCTAGTTTTTGCTTTATTGTAGAGACAAGGTCTCACCGAGTTGCCTGGACAGGTCTTGAACCCACGGGCTCAGGCAGTCCACTCACCTCGGCCTCCCAAAGTGCTGGGATTACAG